GGTTAGACTAGTGGTTCATTTAAAAGTGTATGAACAAATTTAAAAGACATGTGAAAACTATAATGGTCAGTGACGTATACAGAGAATCATATAAGGGGCGTTTTGGAAACTAATTCAAAGTTCATATGAAAATATTTAATTAATAAAAATACTAGTATATCTAGTGTAAAATAATCCAAAATATGAACGATATGAACTCCAAAGGTTCACGGCCCCAGCTCACTTGTATACAATACTGATAGTAATCTATAATTTCAAATTCATATTTTTTTAATTTTATATATTTCTATATCTATATTTCTATATATAGTCATATTTCTATATATATGACTATATCTCTCCCATTATCAATTTCGATAGAAAATTTAGTGTTGAGTTTCCATCTAGAGACACATGGTTATCAAGAGGCCAGTCATTGTGGGACGATCTAATTATTCTTTATTGAAGGATATAAAATAAGTAGCAGTGTAGGCAGTGTGGTTTTTCTTAGAAAGATTGGAAATTTTTTGATCATTGCCGTGTTTTTCAAGCAGAGTTTATAGCTATAAAGTAAACTATAGCTTATCTGGAAATGGATTATATATTTTATAGGAATGTGTACTTATTATCAGCCAGTTAAGCTGCTTTAAAATCTTTGAATTGAGTTCATATATCCAGGACGGATTTTGATTGTTACACATCTCCAAATGAGATATTGATGCAGTTTAATATTTCTTTACCTTTGGTTTCTGATCATAGGGATGTTTTTGGCAATTGCAAGGCAAACGAACTAGCCAAGAGAGATACTACAAGTAAGCACCGGAAACATCGGTGGCGGCGTATTGCTAAAAAAAACGGTAATTTTATTGAGATGACCCATAAGGGTATTAGTCTTGTGGCAGGTTTACTGACGAATTATAGTCGAGTATGATCTACATTTTAATCATTCTTATAAAAGAGTGCATCCTCTTCTAATATTTATTATGAAATTATTAGTTTTTATGCCAATCTAAATAAAAATGATCAATTTAAGTATATATCTATACCTTAATATATATACCTATTCATATATATTTAAAATAATATTGTATTTATAAAATATAAATATATTTTAAAATATAACTGAATAATACTGAATATATAAAATAATATTTTTGTTTTTAACAGAGTACATCGGATTCAGTATTAGAAAAAGCCAAAAGTACTGAAGCAACTATTCGCGCCAGTGTGGTTACAGAAAAAAATTCAAAAGCATCGTCGCCTACTGCATCTGAAAGTAGTAATAGTAGTACATTAAGCAACAAAGTCATTGGAAATTCTGGATCAGTAAAATCTAAAGCTGCCAATTTGAAGTAAGTATTTATTTTTCGCATGACATCAGTTAGTCTTCATTATTTTGTAGTTCAGTTTATTGTTCATGGAACATATATATTTATATCTATTAATTTTTTATAAAGAATTTTATTTTAAAATCAATAAAAATAATATTTTTTGTTATGGATTGAATGGTTTAACTTTTATAGTTATTTAGAAAAATGTATAATATATTAATTGAATATATATAAATTAATTTAATAACTTTTAAATAAAGTACTTATGATAGTAGAATTATTTGTTATGATATTACAGTTTGTATCATTCGCTATACATTTTAATGATAATATTTTCTATATACACGTGTATATACTTATAGGTTATACTCGAACAATAAAGTTTATTTTTATACTTCACTTATTTGTAATATAATGTAATTTTTAAATTTGGTTCGTAGGTATACAAATACATTTATATTAAAAAAAAAAATAGAAAAAGGTTAAAGTTCGGTTTAGTAGATTTTGCTGTTTTGTTTATTTTTAAAGTTTATTTTTAATTTTATTATACTTTTGGAAATCTACAATTTATTACATTTATAGAAACTTTAATGTCATTTTACACACAAAACATATTTCTCCACTTTTTAACTTTTTTAATATATTTTATTTTAATTTTTAAATTTTATTATTTTGTATATTTTCTCTTAATTTATATTTTATTTTATTCAACAGTTTATCACTAGGAAATAATTCAAATGTTGTAAATAATAAAAATAGTCAAATAATAAAAACTGCATCAACAAATTCTCTGAATTCGTCTGCATCCATAAATTATAAAACAAATAAGAACAACCTTATCAGCGATTCTGCAATAAGTAAATCATCTTATTCTTCGTCTACAACATCATTAATCGCAACAAATACTTCAATTCGAAATTTAACTCCAAACAAATCATCGCTTTTCGGTAATAATGGTGGTGTTAGTAGTGATAGTACAACACCGTCTCCACCAGTTATGAATAAATCACCAACGCCTGGAATTAAACCAATGCCTAATCATGGTAAACCAAATTTTGCACCCAAACCTCCAGGATTACAACAGCTAGCCTTTGCTAATGGGCAACGGCCATTAGTCTCTCGTCATCACAGTATGAAATCTCCAAGGTACAGAACTTTAAAACTTTTTAGGTGAAAAATTCTTTTAACCTGTAAAAGTTTTACTTTACGCATATATATCATCGTTTATAAGCTTGATTGAGGCTTTATTTGATGCTTTATTTTTTGTTTTATATAATTTACTTTTATTATTAATATAATCACTACTAATACCACAAATCACATATCATTTAATTATACATAAGCATAATTTATTTAAAAACACTAAAGCAAATGTATAAACGTATACATATATAAATCTATATAATATATCTATATATATAATATATTTAGCTATATAATATATATATCATGTATATATATATATATATAATATAAATATCTATATAATATATTTAGCTATATAATATATATGTCTATATAATACAGATAGCTATAATGTATATAATATTAATGTATAATCTACATAATATATAAAGCTAAATAATATACATAGCTATATAATATATATTTTTATATAATATATATATATAATATATATGTTTATATATGTCTTAAGTAAATCTTTTCATGCAAGTAATTGTTTTCTATACGCTATTAACTATATAAAACTGCTATTTAATATTTCATTTATTATACCATAATATATTATAGTAGTACATTTACATCTAATAATTTATCAAACGTTTAGTGCACTTGTAAATATTTTATGCTTGGATAATATTCATAAATTTCAGAGTTGTATTGCACTAATAGTTCTTCACCTAATAGCGCTTCAATTTTAAAACTGTAGTCTAAATTAATAATATTATTCTTTCTTCAGATCACCGCCAATATCAAGCGCTGGTGGGCCAGTATTTCCTACTCAACAGCATTTTGGGACATTGCGCACACCACAACAACTATGTCAATCACAGGACGCAATCAACTCCAACATACGCACAGCGCCAAATCCACCAATTGGTATATATAATGTTATATCTAAAAATATTTAAAAACATAAAAATTAATGTAATATTATTATTAGGTCGACCCACGGTTGCGCCACCGAAACCACCAACAGTTAAACCACCTCCGCCGCCAACACCAGCGCGTAGTATTTCTAATTCCAATTTAAATAGTTTAACGCACAATGCAACAAATTCTTCTGCAGCACCCTGTAGCGCTGTAAATACTGCACTTGTAAACACTGTAACTGGTTCATCATCTACTCCTACAACAACACAGCCGCCATCAAACTCATCGTCCTCGAGTAGTGTATCCACACTTCGTGAACAATTTAAAAATACACAATCGGCACCAACAACACCGCCAGTATCTGCAGCTTTAACAAATAAAACTACCGGTAGTCCAGTTAGTAAAACTAATAGTACTCGTGATAAGAACGTAAAACCAATTATTCTAAATGGTGGGCCAATAAATGCGCCACCATTACCGCCACATCGAACATGTCCAGCGCCACCACCGCCACAGAGGCAATCAAGTAATGTAAGTATTAAAAACTGAATGCAGTAAAATAATAATTTAGTAGTGGATAGAAGTGTATATCATCGTTGTATTATATATTACTATATTATATGATGGTTAGATCATAGAATAGTTTTCCATTAGTTTTGACTTGAAGTCCTACTACCAGTTATAAGACAGTGGTTGCAACGCACTTTCATACTCATAAGTAGCAAATATAAATTAGGTAACGAGAGTACATAAGAGAGATATGAAATAGGTAGAACGATTGCGGCAAGTTACTTTCTTGCTTTCTTGAACAGTTGAGATCAGGAAGCTTTGGAATTGAAACCAAACCTGCGTGTATACGGAATAATGTTTTCAGTGCTTTCAGTGGAAATTAAATACTAATCAAATGAACAAAAAAAAAAAAAATAAAGCTAGAAGCTATAGGAGAAGTACCCTGCTTTAAGTACTGCCAGAACAATGTTATATGAATATCTGCTAGAATCGAAATACAATTTAAACAGGACATCTAAAAAGATACTGCAGCGCTATAAGAAGCAGTTCGTCCTCGAACTATTTCGCAATTTTTATTTATTTTATAATATAAAACATTTCGCCATTTTTAATTCGTTTGACTGATATTACTATGAAACGTGCAATATTTATACTGATTTACTAACTGAGTGAAGATGGCATACTACAGAGAACTATGGAATATTATATGTATGATAAAGACCTTGTTATTTTAATATTAAATTTTAAAAACTTTTGAGCTACTCACTATGACTTTCACAAATTACCAAGTGTTAGCATATATAGTCTAGCATATATTTCTCTGGTTTTTGACTATTGTTCAATGGTTTTAATAGTACACTTCTCCTCTTCTTTTTTTAGTGCAATTTGCCAAAAAAAATTTGCAATTTTTCGTTACATTTAATATACTTAGGGTCTTACATATACATGCAAATCACAATAAAATTTGAATAAAGTAATGCTCATACATACAATTCACAATAAAATTTGAATTGATTGAAGGTCTATTAGTATGTTCTAATTTTACTCGCTTGCCGCTAAATAAAAACCATTCACTAAATTAATTAAGTCAGACATTGTATATGTTCTTATTAAAAAGTAAGCGTAATTCTGGAAATTTTGGTTTTTTAATAAAACATAATTTAAAGATAACCTATAACCAATGTACCAGTTAACTGCACTAATAAAAGAAAAGTGCAAATTTAAAGTTTCACAAAATACTCTGTGGCAAGTCTCTGCCCACACATTTTCAATGTTAAAATTCATTCTTGTTATGAAATACTAAAATTGCAATATTGCATACTCAGTCTTATTTACTATGTTTTGAAATATGTGTATAGATAGATATACTATATAGATGAGTGTATGTGCAGAAAACGGCGACAAATTGTCTGTGAAATTCATTGAAGTCTGTGTTTTTGTACACAGCATAACAACAAAATAATATGCTCTTTTGTTCTTTGGAACGTGAGAAATAAATATAGGGCAACTGTTATTGTGTTGGGTGGAATATATAAAGTTATCGAATGTTTACATAGTAAATACTCCTGTTGATTTATATAAAAGAAGAATGTATATAAATATGTATTTGCAGTATTTTGAGTATATTTGCGTGGGATAAAAAGTGGGTAGTATGTTGTGGGGGATTGTTTGTTTACAGATATTCTTCACAAACAATAGTTGTATAATTTTATCCTATAAAATAATTCTTAATGCGTATATATACATCCTATTTTTTGTTAACCCATTCATAAAACACCCTCTCTCTCCCACTGTTCTACTGCACATGTCTCTCTTTCTTCTCTTTTCTCTCGTACAAAATATGTATACAATATGTAAATTGTATATATAAAAATAGAAAGAACCCCCTTTTTTTACGTCCCACACAAATTTTTTATATCTTGAAACATGTGATATATGGAGAACTTGTGAGTGGGAAAAAGTATCAAAACAAAATAGTAAGAACAACAAAAATGAAAGCATATCATTTGGCATTGAACAAATGTGTAATATCAATAATTTTCCTTGCAAGCTTCTAGGAGGCGAGTTTGTTTTTGAAAGGATTTTACAGTGAAAATAATTGATTTTGAAAAATATTAATTATAACTCATTTGTGTTAAGTGTATACCATGCTATATATATAAAATATATATTAAATAATAACCATAAATAAAATTTTGTGAAGTATAAGTAATAGATACTGTATTTATTATAAAGCACAGTTTTAACTCTTAGCAAGTAAATATACTGAAAGCATAAAATGATGTTGAACTACAGAAGAAATGTAAATATGTTTTTTATTAATTAATTTTTTTATCATTTTTAATTAAAACAATTCAACTTTGTTATACAATGAATTAACGTTCAGTTTCCCAAAATAAAATATGAATAACCTTGTAGTTATAAACTATTGCGAAATATGTGTGTGTATGTTTTTTGTTAAAAATAATATTCTACAATAATATTGTAATCAAAACCTTATGGAAAATAATATTCCTTACTAAGCATAGTTTGTATAAAACTACTATATCATCATCATCATCATCAGCGTTACAGCTCGGGGTGAGCTTTAGCTGCATCAACCAGCTTTCTCCATTCTGCTTTGCATGATGTTTTAGATCTCCAGCTTTGTATACCCATTTTCCTGATGTCTTCAGTCACGTTGTCGAGCCATCTTATACGTGGTCTACCTCTGCTGCGGTCATTATACGGCGTGAAATGGAGTATTCGCTTTTGTGGTCTATCGTCCGGCATTCTCATGACGTGTCCTAACCATCTCAAGCGTTGCGACTTTGCGAACTTCACCACATCTTCACCATCACAAAGTTGTAGTAGTTCAGCATTCGTACGCCGACGAAATTCTTCTTGATTCAGGCGGATGGGACCATAAATCTTTCTCAGCACCTTTCTTTCAAATGTTCTAATTTGGTTTTCATCTGCTGTCGTTAGAATCCACGTTTCGACTACTATATATAGTCGTTATATATACATCTGGACCTCCCCACAATAGTATAAAAAAAAATAAGATCATAGCTAAAATATATGTAAATGTAATGTAAATTACAATTAGGTAAACCGAAACTAAGAAGTCATTAGATACGAAGATTCCTCATCGTCATCATCATCATCAGTACTATAAACGGTATCCGGTCTTGGCTTCCTTCAACAAGTATCTCCACAGACTCCGTTTACGAGCTAATGTCATTCAATTTGCCATCCTTAAACCTCAAATGTCCTGATCTATGCTATCTTATATATTTTGTTCGTAAAAACCTCAAAATCTTACATATAAATATAAAAATAGATTAATTATTATTAACAAAAATCGCTTAACTGTTTTTAGTGATAATTTTAATTGTTTATATGTTTAAAAGCAGCATAAGGTACGGAAACCTATCAAAATTACAAAATAATTTAGTCAAAAAATAGAAAATTATAATTGTACATTCAAATATTCCAACATCGAAGCGAAATTGTTGTCTGCTACTGATTTTCGTAGGATTTTTATATTTGGGCTAAAATTTGCACAAACGTTGTTTGTGTCATTTCTTAGTTCTTGTCGGTAACTATTGCTTCGCACTTTGCATACTTGTATTAAGTGTATCTGAGTTAGGTGTTGTGTGAACACGAATGAATATTGTTATAAGCTGTATAACGTTATTTTAAGGTTGTAATGTATTGTTGTCATTGGTTTACTTTTATTTATAAGTCATTGCATGTCCACCACTATTTTAAAGTATAAATATAGTTTAAATACTTAATATAACAAAGAATTTTTAAAAATTTTTAATATAACTTTTTTATTTGTTTTTAGACTGGCAGTGGAGCTCCACCTGTGCCACCACAGCGGCATTCATCTATAAGAGCTAACGCTCCCATAACACCACCAACAACTGCAAGCGCACCATTATTCGGCAATAATATTGGCAACAACATATCGAATGCGAATTCCGTTAGTCGTTTAGTTGTCGATTTAGAAGCGAAATTCGGCAAACGTTTTCACAATGTAACAGAATTCCCAAAGCCGCCACCATTTTTAAATGTCCAAAAGATATATCCTAGTCGAACTGTTAAAGCAACAAATGGTATGTAAGAAGTAAAAGTACACAAATGCACATTAAGTTGCGTTACTAGAAATTATACCAACTTAACTTCGTCTACTATACTTGACTCGTTAAGGAGTTAAACATCAAGTTAAAATTATATTTCATAATCAGGGTTTAGGGTTTTTTTTAATAAGTACTACTAAAATACTTATATACGTTGCAGTAACAGACAACGTTGCGGTCTCTATGTTCCACAAACCCCATTGTGAAAACTGTAAATTAATATTGTGTACATACTTACATATATAAAAAATATTATTGTTGATTAATTTTTATTTTTTATTCAAATTATATTAATTATATTCAAGCAGTTATTTATATTAAAGTTATAAAAATTGTGCAAAAATTATGCAAAAGTAATGAAGAAATTATGCATGTATTTAAAGAAATAAAAACGTTGTTTTCTCTTGGAAGAAGTAATTTAAAAAATGTTAATTTTTTTATCGTTTTAAAACTTCCATAAGTTAAAATTTTAAGTTATATTTTAAGCTTAAAAATAATTTTTACTTTTTTTACTTACAAGAATTTTAATTAAAAATTGTTATTTTAAAATTCTGTTTAGTAACAAACATAGTTTTTATAAATTTTAATTTTGAATTAAAATAATTTTATCTGAAGTATTAAGTGAAATAAATAGATAATATAAAATAATGAATTTTAACAAATATAGCTTTATATTTTTAAAAACTATTAAATAGGCAGTAATGCATAAATTTATATTGTTTTTGATTTTTTAAGCTTATATTAAATAACTTTATTTGAGTAAACATATACTTATATTGTTGAAATGCAAAGTCATATCAATACTACATTTTAATTAGTACGATCTTTATTTTTTAGTTGTACAAAATAATTTATGTAGCATGATAACCAAGATACTTATATAATAATTAATACACTATAAAAAGAAAAATTTTAATAAATATTATGAATTACAATTTTCAGTTAAAAACTTTTGTTTCATTTATAAAAGATTTTTTTTATATTAAATTGTTTTTCTCCACTATTTTATTTGACGTTTAGATGGCCTGTTAAAATATATTTATTTTTAAAAACTTGTTTATATTAAAAAAAAAAAACAAAATTTTAGAAATGCAATTATTTTTTTATAGAATTTTATTTATAACTTCTGAAACATTTGTTAAGTTTACAAACGAAATAATACAATGAGAGAATTAATTGAGCAAAAATTTTATTATTTCAAGCCATAAAACTGGAACTGCAGAAGAATTCATTATTTAATATAAATAGTTTCATTTTCTCTTCTTCATTTCCAATTTGTTACCGAAAATTAACGATTATATAAAATTCGTATATATAAAAAAAATGATATTATTTATTCTTAATAATGTGTGAAAATATTTCTCTATTTTTGACCACCTCCAAATGGTGGCACTCAAATCCACTCAGCCATATATTTCTCAACGATAATAACTTCTTTTTATCGATGCCTTCTTTACCTTCAATCGTTTCGTGAAATATAAGCTGTAGTAGGTGAAACTTAGGGTTAGGAAAAATATGGCAAAGATAAATAGTTTTCTTGCCTTTGAAGAAGCCAGTTGTAGCAGGAGATACTTTGGGTTAGGTAAACTATGACCTTGCGTTTGCAGTCTCTTAACAGATGCCTGTCACCACTAAGTCCATGTAACAGTTTGAAGTTGCTTAGATAAATCATTTAAGTTAAATACCAAACTAGTCTATTTAAATAACTTGCTGAACTAAGTCATTAAAATGAAAGACTGAACAATTGCATTGAACTTCTAAATTAAAATTAATATTTAATTATTTTATAAAAATATATAAAAATGACATACTGAAATAAATCTTTAAAGTAAATTACAGAACTAGTTTCCCCCACTACTAAACACTACTCATCCAAATCCCCATTCATGTAATTGTCTTGAATATTCTTTCTTATTATCGGCTTAAAGGTCTCGGCGTACTATAACAACAACAAATAATCTACTTGTTAGAATTTATGTTCTAATTTAGCACATATAAAAAAAATATAGAGCTAAACTATTGACTTTAATGAATAAAAGCTTTCTGAACAAATTCAGTTCGTAAAAATAACGTACTTTACGAACTTTACAGCTCAATTCTATTAATTATATTGTAATAAAAAGAAAATAAAAACAAATAAAAAAAAACGGAGCGGAGATATATGCTGACCTACCACTACAACCAACCAACAAAGGCTCTTAGTGCAACAGAATACTGTGACTTTTTTTAATACTTGTCGTTTTTATTTGCTTGTAACAATAGTTACAACTCTGTATATATTACAAGGAAATAGAATAAAATAGAAATTTATAGGAATTTAGGTTCATTGCTTCCATTAAGGAACTTTTGTTCTGAATTTGACCCTATCCGAATAGAAGCCCAAACGGTTTTTTATTGAAGGGTTCCTAATATCAAATGGGGACATGAGCTTCTGTTATATATATTTTCTTTTCCTAGGCCTTATCAGGTTAATTGTTGAACAACGTTCATCATACTAAGATTATTCAGATTTTTGTTACAGTTAATCAAAATATAACATTCCCAAAGATTTGATCGACTTTTAAATTTCAGCACCAAATGAAAATAATAATATCACGAACAACAACAACATTAATCCAGTAACAACAAATCCAATAACTGCACCAAAACCATTGCAGCCCGCTTATCAACCATTTAAGAAGCATAGAGCACCGGCACCACCACCCCAAGCAGGCGTGGCTGCAGCAACAGTATCTGTGATAAGGCAATCGAGTTTTCTCTATGGCGGCAACAATAGCATCGGCCAAGCACAAAGCCAAACACCAAATGCAACTGAAGCACCAAGAAATTAAGGAACTAATAGACGTCTTCTATACTTGCTATAAGTTATCAATAAAAAAATTATATTAATTATATTATTATATTATAAAAAATCAGTTAAACTAAATTTAGTAAATTTCTTGAGTGAAAAGTATAAAATAATAACATATTACAATTTTAAGTTTTTTTATAATATACATATATATATATAAAATAAATATAAAAAATATTTTAATTAGAAATTATGTTGAAAGAATTTATTAAATTAATTATTTAAATTTAAAATAATATTCGCATGTTTACGTGTGTGTGTGTGTGTTTACTAATTTTGTTGTTATCATATATACAAAATGAAAAAAAATATTAAGTTAAATAATTAGTAGAATTAATAAATTGGTTAAACAATAACTTTAATATAATTATTACGAGAATATCTGTAACTAGTAAAGTATAAATCAAATCAAAGACTTTTCCTCTACATAATGGCCTTCATCATTATTATTGATATATGTATATTATTATATAATAAATAAAAAAATACGAAAATAAAAATAAATAAATTAAAACGTAAGTAATTTTGTTCTTCATGTGAATTTTTCATTATTAATATAATTAACTTATTTTATACATATGCAAATGTATAGATATTGTATATGTATATGCCTACATGCATACATACATATTATAAATATTATTAATATTGTCATATCGTTACTTTTAGACATTTTTAAATTAAATTTTTTGATGTTATATTGAACAATAATTATTACTGTACGTAAATCTATAGTAAAAATATTAAAATTTTATGCAATAAAAATTAGTTTAAAAAATTGCATTTCGTTTTTAATTTTAAACACGCATCTAAAAATTATATATAGTAAAAATCCTAAATATCATTCATTAAAGTCATTTAATAATAACATATATGTACTTTTTTTCCTGTACGTAAAAAGTATCAAAAGCCACAGTATGAGACTTGAACCCAATAAAACCAGTTAGGAAACCCAAAATTTCAGCCATTGATCAAACGTTATAAGCTGAGATTCCACTCCAGTAAGCAAGGACGAGAATACAGAAGTATCAAAATACAGAAGGCTCAGTATTCAGACGACAAATATGTATATCTAAGCAAAAATTAAAAATAATTGAAAGGGGGAAGGCAAAATGTTCTTGCTAGGTACTAATTACTAACGAAGAGTAAAGAGATTGTTGTAATCACGATTGTAGTGCGGGATTACAAGAATGATGCTGACAATGTAGTCCAGATGAGGGGTCAGGAATTGAAAAGAATTATACCTCATATTAGTAGATCGATGGGAAATTGATGTCGGTGAAGAATATGAGGCGAAAGATTGTGGCTTGGTAAAATATCTTCACGCTAGGAATAATTAAAAGTTATCTAAACGCTTGATGTTAGAAAACTTGTAGATAGCGGAATTGGTAAAGCGTCTGCCATCGGTTCTGCGCTTGTAGTTAGTGCAGTCTTGAAACAGTCTTCTTTCAAACGCTTAAAAACGTTCCATTTGAGCGGATGAGATTCTGGACCAAATGAGAAAGGAGTATATATATTCCATATATAACAGATTGTGTTAATGCAGAGCCTTTTTAAGCTCAAGGAACCGAAGAATGGCATTCTCGATGGGATTCGATACAATCCCATTATCGGTAAGGCTAATATGAGAGCTTTTAACTCGAAGTTATATGGCTGACAATTTATTACCCCTAAAACAGTTGCGATATCCGCCAAGAATGACCGAGATTGCCGAGATTTTTAATGGTTTATATTCAAAATATGAACGCATGGTAACTGTTATATTATTAATTTAATTATGATATCAATTAATTATTTGTGTGAGTTATCTAGCTTTTTTTTAGTTTTAATTTTTTTGTAATACGAAAATCGTCAAAATTATTCTTTTTCAATTTGTTTTTTTTTTCTTTAGCGCGGTAAGTTGTTTTTCCACCTAAAAAATACAGAATGTAAGTTGCGATTTTTATAAGTTTTTCGATGTTTAGTTACTTAATATAAGTATTATTATTAACATAGACAATCATTTTACAAAGTAATAAACAATTTTAGTAATGGCTTTGAAGTTGTGTTCTTACTTAATAAGCAACTGTTGCTTATGACTGTTCGTGTTGTTATTGTAGCACGTCAGGATCTGCCTGTGTAGTTTCTTTTGAGAATCTTGAAGGGCACTTGGTCGTTGAATTTGATAGGTTGCACTGAGACGTAGATGCGGCTGTCAGCGAATAGTTAGCTTGATCGTAAATTTTACTCAACTGCATTTTTGACATTACTAATGACTGTAGTCAAAGAGATTGTTGCTGAAGGGGAATTCGAAAAAAGCACTTAAGTTGGTGAGCTTCTTAAAAATTCTTTAACTGGAGAACCTCCATACTTAAAAATAATTTTAAAAGTTACTTCACTTAAATATGCATTATAAAAATAGATTCAAATATTTAAAAATTAATTATATTACGGTTTATTTTTGTACACATAACAAATGTTTGTTATAACCAATATATAAATTTAGAAACTAGTAGCAGTTTTAAAGTCGGTTTTGTTTTTTCTTTTAAGAATTCCAATATTAGGAATTCTTCTGATGATAACAAAAGCGAATTCGCCGAAATACGTATAGAAATATACCAAAAATTAAAGCTCGAAATAAAAGTTAATATTCTTAAAAAAAAACACAAGTCCGACTTTAAACAATTCAAAAATTAAAAACAAAATTATATAAGCAGTTGCTAGCAACTTTTCGTTTTATTTTATTTATTAATAAAATAGTTATTAAAATATAAATTTAACGAGTATAAATCTATATATAGTTAAATTCCAATAATTTTTTATTTTTATAATGTTTGTTAATATAATAACTATTAGTATTTATATATTAAGTTAAGTTATATATTTTGCAATTTGTGTTGTGTAAATATTTAAAAATCATTTAAGTGTAAATACAACTCTGTGCTAAACAAAAACATTGAATATCACGGCGCAGAAAAGTCAAAATCGTTGAGTAAGAATTTCTTCGCATATATTGAACGCCTTTAAATTAAACAAAAAGGAAATAATACAAGTTTTTATACTAATTTATTAAGTTTTAAACGCAACATACAAAAAATGGTAAGCGTGCAAAATTAAGCAGTTAAACAATTGCATAAACAACAAACACACCGTATGCAAACGAACGGGAGAAGTGCAACGAAACAGGATAGAAAAAAGAAAAACAGCGATAAGTAACATTACTTCTTTCGCTTATCATCGTAATCTCAACATTAACCGGATAGAAAACATTTTATTTTATTTTTTTCTTTAACACATAAACACCGAAAATTAATAAATAAATTATCTTGCGATGTACCCTTGGAGCTCTGCTGCCTATACGCAGTCCGCCCCACTCCTGACGGTAATTCATAAGCATTCTGTCGCACACACGCCTCTAGCCTTTAGCTCACATTACCGCCTATTAACGTTACATTGTACAATTTCATATGCATAAATAACAACTTTAAGAAATTATGGTATTTATGAATCATTTAATTAATCTCATTTGGTAGGTACTGAATATGCATTATTTCATTTAATGATCATTTAAAACAATTACTGTGGTAGATATGAAGATATGTAAAGTTTACTTTACTTTAATGCAAAAAGGTGTCTTATATTAAATATGTGTTGAATATCAATATAAAAAATATTTATTTATTATTGTGCACACCCCCTATTACCGCGCATATAGTAACTAATTCAATACTTTGAAAGTGCTTTAAAAATAGAGAAAACAATTATCTTATTTAATATTTGCATTATGATAATGAATGTCATCATATATGAATATAATAAATTAAGAGATTACATTATATGAATACATATTCAAGAAAATTTTAAATAAGAAATATTTATGATTAATTCCTCTTGACACAATTATAAATTAAATCAATTCTAATATTATTTTTTTAGATTGTAGTAACGATCTGGCTATATAAACATATATGATATATATATACTATTTATTCAAAAAAATTTAAAGCACAGTCAAAGTTTGATTTGGGTAGTTTAACCATGGGATTCCTCAAATTGTGTTTTGTAAACTAATAATTATGCTCTGTCGTCGAATATATGTATGATATATATTTTTTACCATAAATATAAACATAGACGAAATCATATTATATTATTTAAACTTTTAAATTAAAGCTCATTTGTTTGAATACGTTACAGTCAAAATATTTCTTTTGCTTACATACATTGTTGGCCATTACACTCGTCAGCCAGTTATCCTGATCAGTAGCTTGCTGTCGCTAGTTGGTAGTACTGAGTGCATTCATATCGTTGGGCAATTGGTTCTGCCACCGAAGATGCGAAGGTCCCTCTACCGCGTCTTCCACTACCGGTTATATATACATTTCGTAATAAGTTAGTTTGAGTTCTCTGTTGAAATTTTTAATAAAAGATGGAAAGAGTCAACGATATGCAGGCATTTGTATGCAATCTGGCCACCTTTCACTAAAAGGAAATCCAATATTCTCAATGAGATGCCCCGTAGAAGTATCAGTTTTATAGTAGATTTACTTACAGATCACTGTAAACTAGGTAACCATGCTAGATGATTGAATCTCTCTTTCAATCATACCTGTCGCAGCTGTGGGGAAGTATGTAAGAGTACTTCTCACATACTCTGTCTTTGCCCAGCTCGAGCACGACGGCGACTCAACCTTTTAGGAGCCTCCTTTCTTGAGGATCTTGATAAATTACAAGATCTCCCATTAAACATTCTGAGCTTCGCCGAAGATTCTAGGTGGTTTTAATCCTGTGTTTTCCTCTAAATACGGTAACATAACGGGCCAATAGGTCTAAGTGGATTCCCTAGACATCGGCGGTGTAACCTAACCTTATCTAGATTAGATTAGTTCATACCGACGATCAAAAGGATCCACATAGACCTATTGAACCATTGTACTACCTTATAAGAACTCAAACATTTAGAATTCTAATCGAACATTTGGCGAAAATTAAAATGCTCTTTAAAGGAAGGTTCTGGAACTGTACAAGATTGTCATAAAAGACCCCTAACGTAGTCAATTGAGGATGCGTATGCGATGGACAATAACAAAGTAACTGTGAGGCATTATTGATATAATAAATTTAATTCGATTTTTTACGCTACTTTTTTTAATATAAAAAGAAAATAATTTGTTAACTGAATAAAAAAAACAAATTAAAATAATTTCTTACTTATCAAGCAGTTTATTTGCACTGAGATGCTTTTTGTTTAAATAAAAAATTCTGGGTTACCCTAATTATCTTACTATTTAATCACAAACATAAATTCTTGTATTAACAAACATAATAAATATATATATATACATAATAAAAACGAAAAAAATAAAATAATTAAATAGCCGATGGATTAACAAAAAATAACCATAAGAAATGATAAGGAAACTTATTTTTAATTCAAGTTTGTTATTATGCTCCATAAAAATCTGAGGTTGTTAATCGTGTTTTTTTATTATAATATTAGCTCCAATATTATTTTCAACCAATTGCATATATTTCTTTAATTTGTTATGTTTAAAAGTGATCCTTAATCTTCAATAAACTCTACCTATCGTCTTTGAAGACGACTGTCTAGATGGTATCAAGAATCGCTGTGATCCAACTAAAGTTAAGGTTTAGCTACGTATTAGATAGTAATCTCTTACAGCTAAATTTGTTTATTATTAATCTGTCGAGCTAGGTAATTTATTCAATTGTTTCAAAGAATTTCTTCTTACAAAAAATAACGATCGTAATAAAAGCTAAAATTCTTTAAAAAACAAAATCGACTTTACCCATTGGGATAATTTATTTAATTATAGCAGTTTTAAACTTCTTTAACCAAAAAGAACATTTAACATTTTTGTGAAAACTTTTTACTGTAGTTTATATTTTTTACCGATTTTTTCTGAATCGTTATCTAATTTATTCTACTATCTTAATTTAGTTTGACATTTTGGTTGCAAATTAATAATTTATCTTCGAACTCTTACTATAAGTCTAGCTGTATCGCAAAGTTGCAAATTTTTAAAACGAAGAAATATCTTTTATTTATCAAATTCTTCAGCTGATTTTTATATTAAAATAGTATGAATCTTAATATATTTTTTATTAGTTAAAATTTTTGTTCAAACTTGGTTGGACATGAATGTTATCAGAATTTATAATTTTATGTTCAAATTTTTTCATATAACGAAAAATTACTTAGCATTCATCATATCTTTGATCGTTTTTACGATTTATTGTTATACTCAAATGATGTAGACCTTCTAGTCAGTGGATATGGTGATCTTTTGTTTATATTATGTATATACCGACTTTACCATTTCTTACGAAGCCCTCTAAGTGTGTCTTACCTACGAACGATGAAACTTTAGTAAGAGTTGATGTTGTTGTTGCCGCTGGGTGTGGCAAAAATCACTTGAACTCGACGGGTGCCTCCGTGACGTTGATCTGACCGTTCTTGAAACCAGTAAGAGTAGTTAGAATAATTTGTTTGGTAGTGCTGAGTGACTACGAGAAGTATAATTAATACTAGTACTAATAAATTTACCATCTTAAAGAGTTATAATGGATTCATAATATATATACATTTGCTTGAATATAGTCCAATTCATTTAGCTATGTGGTTGCAATTTTGGAATCTTATGGCGTTTTCGTTTGTTGAATCTGGATTCAGTCTAGATTTAAACTCGATCTATCAAATGTTGTTGCCCAATCGAACAATTTTGAAGTAATCTAACATTTTTGTAGTAGTGTTAGAAAATATTTATATTATTCATAAATACATATAACAAATCACATCACACTTATTTGTAAAATTATATAAAACAGCTGTTAATTTCTGGGTAATCTTGCTACTCTAACAAAATATCTGGAGTGTTATAAATTAATTTTGAGTGTTATACATTTTGCCCCAGATTTACCAATCGAAAACAAAAATTGCTTTAAAAGAGCATCTCGATTGAAAAAATTACCACAGATTTATCAATCAAAAACGCCATCGGATATGACATTATAATTTATATTATTACTTTATATTTATGAAATCAAAATAATAGATAACCTTACATAATAAAAAGGGAATTCAAGTGATAACCTTGTTATATTTCTGAGAAAGTACAAAAAGGATAAAGCCTCTCTTATATCAAACTCAACAAGAAAAATAAAACAAAGAGCCTATAATTGTTCATGTTGAGAAAGAAAATTAGACAGAAATAGGTGTGTATATTTTCAATTAAATTGTGACCTAAGCGAGATTTTAAATTGAACTCATGATAATGTGATTACAGGTTCAGTTAGGTGACGGAGCAATCTCACGGAGAGTCTAACCCTAAATATTGTATTTAGAATATAATATCTATTTGTATTTAGAATGTGTCAACACAAAAACTGTACCTATTCTGATCATAACCCAATATCTACAAATTTTACAATTTTCTACGATGTCTTTTTATACTTTCTTCTTCTTTCCAATATATATCTTTAAACTATTAGCTTATAATGTGTTAACACTCACTCTCGTTAAAGTTCAACCGCTCACAATGAAAGTGAACCAAATTGATTTCCCTATGGGCGAGAGAATATAGTTTTTAACAACAGTCTTGCTTACAGCTATTGTGTAATTTCTATATTCGCATTTTATTTTCTGCTTTATGGACTTTGTAATGACTACTGCAATACCAGTAGTCAATGACTACCACACTATACATAATAAATTTCATTAATGTAATTAAAAAGTATAAATTAAAAAAATTTCATATAATAAATTCAATAGATTTTATGTTATAAATAATTTGGATGTACATTAAAGTAAAGAACTCATATTACATTTATGCATTATAATAAAATTTAAAAATTATTTCAACAAATTCGTATTATTAATAAAAGTATCTCTCACATATAGCATATCTGGAAGATAAATTTTTATCATATGTATTGTGTTCCAATTTCGAGTACTTTATCGTCTCTTCTCATCGTAGACTGAACATTGTTGTTGTTTGTTGATATTATTTGTTTTCGATAAATTTTAAATTAAATAAAAGTTGAAGAAAAATGGTTAGTGCTTATATTAAATAGAGTTTGCATATAGTTTAATAAAAAATCATCTAGCTTTGAATTGTTATTAATTGTGTGTGTAATAATAAATAATTATATCATATTAGTAACTTTTATGTATATTCTTTTTATAGATGCCAAATGGTTTTGATGACCAAGATAAGCTTTTAGCAGAGGCAATTAGTACGGCACGGAAGCAGGCATTCCAAATGAATCATTTCCTCGATAAGGATCGTATGTTAGATGCATTAAAATGTGCTAGCACAATGTTGAGCGAACTGCGCACTTCATTACTTTCACCAAAAAGTTACTACGAATTATGTGAGTATGCATACCACAACAGATATCTTAACAGATAATATACATTATCACTTATCATGTATTTACATATTTTAGATATGGCCATCACAGATGAACTTTGTCACTTGGAATTGTTTTTTAGTGAAAAGTGCGAAAAGGACGCTGATCTGTACGAATTGGTACAATATTCACATACTATTGTGCCGCGCCTATATTTATTAATAACAGTGGGAATTGTGTATATCAAACGTGATAAAACGTTAAAACGTAGCATATTAAAGGATTTGGTGGAAATGTGTCGTGGAGTGCAGCATCCTTTACGAGGATTATTCTTACGTAATTATTTACTACAGTGTACGCGTAATATATTACCTGATGTGCTGAAGACAGAAAATGAAAATGAGGGTACTGTTACGGATGCGATTGAATTTGTCTTAACAAATTTTGCTGAAATGAATAAATTATGGGTACGCATGCAACATCAAGGGCATTCAAGTGAAAAGAATCGCCGAGAAAAGGAGAGAGAAGAATTAAAAATATTAGTTGGTACAAATTTGGTGCGTTTATCGCAATTAGAATCTGCAACGCTTGATACTTATAAGCGTAAAATATTACCGGGTATACTGGAGCAGGTGGTTAGCTGCCGGGATGCTATTGCTCAGGAATATCTAATGGAATGCATAATACAAGTGTTTCCAGATGAATTTCATCTACAAACTCTTGATCCATTTCTTAAATCATGTGCGCAACTTGAAGCCGGTGTCAATGCGAAAAACATTATTATTTCGCTTATAGATCGACTAGCTGCATATAATCAGCGTAGTGGAATGGTAACAACGTTAAAGTTAATATTAAACATAATATATAAATTGTTTTATCTATATTAACAGACAAGTGGAACTGACATCGAATCTTTAATACCAGGCGAAGTAGAACTATTTGAAGTATTCAGCGTGCAAGTTGCTAATATTGTTCAGGTATTAATTTTTATTTATTATATAATTCCCAATTTTATGTTTTGTTATTGTTGTGATAACTCATGTTGGAATGAGGCCCATAGATCCACCTATTTTTGTAGTAAACTTGTATATTTTTGTAATAAAAAAATCAACTCGTTCTAGATAAGCGACTCTGTCAAATCGGGACACTGGCCTATATGATGGCATAGAGCTGATTGCAAGAACGGTCGGGTTTACGTCCCGCAGCCACTCGTCGAAGACAACCAAGCGCCGTTCAACTATCCCCAAAGGGACTTCACAAGCAGGTCCCGGCGGGTTACAACAACATGTCATAGAGATTGTATAGTGTGGCGAACGGCACTTGGTTGTCAAACACGACGAATAGCTCATAAACGTAGATCAGACCGTTCTTCGAACCATAAGTAGGACATAGACCTGGTGGCTTCTTATATTCCATTTATACTGATTAATAATAATTAACCATTAAACTGACAACAATTGCCCATCCACAATCTAACCCATAATTTAACATGTAATTCCTTTTATGTTAACAGCTTAACATATCCTAAATCAGGCTTTAATTTTTGGATCCCCCAGTCTTCAATATAATTGGCAATATTTTCAGCATTGGTTCTTTCCAGATACTTGTACTTATCAATGCGTCCGCCTCTTTCTAATATATCCAACTTTCTACCCATAATTACAGGCAATATGAAATCAAAACGTTTTCCTAGTTAACTGAGGAGGATACGATCCTTCTTTTATTTTAACCACTTATTTATATAAGCGGCACTTGGTTGTCGGAAAAAATGATCGAGACATGTTTAGGTAGTTGTAGCCCGCAAAGATCTGTTTATGTAGTTCCGTTTGGGAATCCTAAATGACACTTGGTCATCGAATTTGGCAAATGGCTGCGAAACGTAAATCCGGCCGTTCTTAGAACTGTGATTGGGACATAGACCCAGTTGTTTTTTATATTCTATTTATACTAATAATCTAATATAAATACTTACTAACTATTAGTCTAAGTTTTCAATTTCTTATGTATTCTTATTTGTTTTTTTAATTATTTTTTTTTACCTTTATTTAAATTATTTATTTAATAATAAATTATTTTTTTATTTTTTTCATTTTACATAGGCGCGCACCGATATGCCTTTGGAAGATACTATTTCACTGCAAGTATCATTATTAAGTCTTGCGCAAAAAGTGTATCCGGATCGTGTAGACTATGTTGACAAAGTACTTGGCACAACAAATCAAATACTTGAACAACTCGAAATGAATAAGTAATATATTAATTATTAAAATATTATATTTTGTAATTTATGTGTTTTTTTTTCTTCTATTTACAGTATTTCACATTTCCTTTCCGTAAATCAAGAACTTTCTCGATTAATTCGAATCTGTATTGATTTTTACAATAACATTCTAACTATTATAAAATTGAATAACTTTTGTCCATTGCTCGAGAAATTTGACTACATATCCCGCAAATCTTTGGCACTTTATCTTGTTATGAATATACTCGAATTTGAAACTTTTATACCAACAGCAGAACAAGCAGATCATGTATTAAAAATAATTGCACCACTTATTAAAGATGAAGAGAATAAAGAAACATCTAATGCCAAGACTACTACGAATGAACGTTTAGATCCTGAAGAGTTCGCAGAAGAGCAAGGTGTAGTGGCACGGTACGTTTATTTACAAATATATAAAAAGAGTTGAAACTATATTCAATTATTTATGCTTTTAGATTTATACATCTTATGAAATCAGATGAGCCTGACACACAGTATAAAATATTACAAGCCGCAAGAAAACACTTAGGTAGCGGTGGACCACAAAGAATTAAACACGTTTTACCGCCACTTATATTTGCTGCTTATCAATTAGCATTTAAATATAAAGCAATCGCAGAACAGGATGAAAATTGGGATAAGAAGTGTCAGAAAATATTACAGTACTGTCACAGTACAATCGCTGTAATAGCGAAAGCAGATTTACCTGAATTAGCGCTGCGTCTTTATTTACAAGGCGCATTGGTTATTGGAGAAATTGCCTACACAAATCATGAAACAGTTGCGTACGATTTTATGACGCAAGCATTTTCTCTTTATGAAGATGAAATTTCAGATTCTAAAGCACAATTAGCTGCAATTACATTAATTATGTCAACATTTGAGCAAATGTCTTGTTTTGGTGAAGAAAATGCTGAACCTTTACGTACTAATTGTGCGTTAGCAGCTGCGAAATTACTCAAGAAACCAGATCAATGTAGAGGTGTCGTTGCGTGTGCAGCACTTTTCTGGAGTGGAAAGTATGTTATAATTACAAATAGTATTAAAAACTATATAACTATATATTAATGTATATAACAGAGATTTTTAGTTAGCAAATTAACCTATAAGTTAGCTAGGTCTAAACACACTTCAGTGTTACCTACTTTGTTTATAGAGTTATCAGGTTGGTTTAATTTCATACACCATGTTATACTAACATGATACCATACTGGATCTATTATTAATTGGTCTATAGATTAAAAGTAGAAATACTACTGACTTTTTTTCCAAAACTTATGACCACTGAATATATAAAGAAATCATGCTGTGTAATCCTTAGCAGGTAAATAGACATTGCCGTGTGTTACGTTCGGTGAAGTGGAAGAAGAAACAAAACCTCCTCAATTAGTTAAGCAAGCCGTAGTGGGGAAAACAATGTTTGCGGCTGGTTCTAACGTAGCCGAAAACATTGATAGATATGAATGTCTAGCTAATGCACGAAATATCGTTATTAGACATTATTCTAGGGAACAAACATTTTGGCAACTGCAACTGTTTTATTCGCAATATGCGTTTTAGCTATTAAATGGGGAAATCTTGCCTTTCTGTGTTCTTTGTAAACTAACTACTGCGGTCCTCTTGCTTCCACGTCAGATTAAAGCGAAAGCAAGATATTTAAGCAAATATTTAACCAATTAATAATAAGTGAAGACCCCTGATATATATACTTCTCAGTTGTAATATAGAGCTTATTTTTAAATCAAGTATTTTTATTTGTAAAATTTTTAGTATATAATTAAAATTTTTCCTTAGACAAAATGGCGAAGAAATGCGCGATGAGAAACGTACGCTAGACTGTCTGAAAAAAGGTGCACGTATTGCGTCTCAATGTCTAGACACAGGTGTACAAGTCCAATTGTATGTTGAACTTCTAAATCATTATCTCTTCTATTTTGAACGTGGAAACAGTCTGATCACAGTGGCAATGCTTAATCAGGTAAGTTTCATATATAATCTATAGTGATAGACAGTCTCTAAATGTAAATTGTTTTCATTCAGCTCATCGCTAAAGTTAACGAAGAACTGCCTAATTTAGAACCTAGCGAAGAAACAAAACAAATCGAAATGCATTATAAAAACACATTGGCGCATATAAGAAGTCGCATAGAATCAAATGATGCCGGTTTAGAAGTTTCCTTCGCAGGCATTTCGATTAATTAGTATACTTACTGAATAATTTTGTTTTTTTACTTAAAGAAATTATTTGCTACTAATTCAAGGAGCTTAATTTGAAATTTATATGTAATTCCGCAAATTTGCTACACAGTGGTTGCATGAGTGTTTGAGATATTAAACAGCAATATTTGTTTCGAATGTATCTTTTTGTTGTGTTTGCGTTAATACGTATAATGATTTGTAATTTGTTTATTAAAAATTTTAAAATTTATATATAATTTATATACTTAAAAATTGATTTT